AGACTGTGAAGATCGCCGACCGCTCCCCCTCGCCCACGCGGAGCTCCAGACTCTGTGCCTGGCCACTGGGGAGGCCGCGCACCCCGAATGGGCAACGAGCCTCAACAAGAACCAGGCAGGCCAACCAGGCGCGACCAACGGCCAGCCCGCATAGCCAAGTGCGGGCTGGAGGTCGTGATCGCTTCCTTGCCCCCCGGGGGTCCGTTCGATGCCTTTTTCTCCGAGGCTGGCATTTCAACGCGCATCCACAGCCTGGGGAGCGGAAAAGCTCCAGGAGGCAGCGGACATGGACACGCTCGGCCGGGCAACGCTCCCCCGGGCGGTGGACATGTGTGAGCTTCAGCCGGAGCCTCGGCTTTCTGGCCTTCCTGCCCCTCGGAGAGGCCATTCCATCCGAAGAGTACCAAGAGATTACCTGAAGCCGTCCCTTAAGCGTGAAGTGGAGGAGGAGGGAGGAGGAGGAGGAAGAGGAGGAGGCGGAGGAGGAGGAGGAGAAGGAGGCGGAGGAGGAAGGACAGGGGGGTCGCGTGGAAGTGTACGGATGGGCTGTCCTTCGCGGGGCGTCGGGGGGGGGGGGAGTTGGATCGCCTGAGTTGATTTGTTTGGTGGGCGTGGGGGACTGACCTAGGCCGTCGGGCGGGGTGGCATGGGGCGGCACGCTGTGAAACAGCCTTGGTATCGATATGATAATTGGTTTGTTCGAGCGTTTGTTTGTTTTGTTATCTCCCTCTCTCTCTTTCTCTCTTTTCTGATAACAGCCAGAGCACGTCTGAAGTATCATACCTTAGATGTGCAAAGTGTGTGATGGGAGTCTGGTTGGAGTCTTGTTTCAATTCTCTCGGATTTGCAGAGTGTAGCAGGAACCAGGCATAGGAGCCCAGAACACATGCACAAGCTTTCGGAGTTCTGGGCGGATCTCTTCGGTCGGAGCTGGACGCTTCCACTCTGATGAGCCTGTTTTCCACCACCACCACCACCATAAGTTGGATGGGGAGAAGGAGAAGGAGGGCGAGGAGGAGGAGGAGGAGGGGGAAGGAGGAGGATGAGGAGGAGGAGCAGGAGCAGGAGCAGGAGCAGGAGGAGGAGGAGGGGGAAAAACGGCACCGCTGCGTAATCCCCGGGGTGCGCTCTCACCACTATTTCGAAGCGAGTCCAGCCGTCACGACGAGGGGCGGGTGGGGGTATCGGTGTCCCTTGCTCCTCTAGAGCAATGAAAACTGCATAAACGTAAACTGTCGGATCTCCGCGCGGATTTCTCGGATCGGCTCGGGAGTCCTCGCTGGCGCGCGGAGCGCGCCAGGGGCGGCGCTGCGGGGGCCGCAAGGGGGGGCCCAACGCCGATCCAAGAAATCCGCTCGGAACTCCGAAAAGGTTATGATTATATCGCTTGTTCTTCTTCAATCCTCTTTATACCATTCGTTTCTGTATACCGTTATGTTTATATCGCTTGCAATGTTTTATGTCGTACGTTTGCTCCAGAAATCCCTACCCTTTCCCCAGGACCGGGGTTGCGTCCTGAGTCGTGCATTGACTGTCCTTGGGCCCAGTGAGGGCCCCCAGAGGTCGAAAACGACGAAAAACCTCAGGATTGAATTGTTCAATCCGTTCGATGTCTGGGACCAGGAGTTGACACGCCAAGCTCGATTCTCGACCGGGGGATCGAGGTTTCTGGGCGTGTCCTGGGCCTCCTGGGGCGCCCGCGTGGTCACGGCTGGTGCCCCCCCTCGAAACTTCTTCCCCCTCGAAACTTCTGTCCGGGCGTCGCCACGGAGCCCCAAAGACCCCGACCACACAGCGGCGCGCTTTGTCCCCGCGGCAAGTCTCAATACGTTGGAGGTCTGGGTCTGCGCCTGTGCCGTCGAGCCGCCTCGGTCCGCTCTCCCTGGAGACCGGCGCCTCTCCAGCCCTGGAGAACGGCGCGTCGCCAGCCCAGGCCGCGCTGCGCAAACTGCGATCGCCTTCGCGCCTCTGGGGTGACCCAGGGTCCCCCAGGGTATCAGTATCCGCTCCTCCTCTGCGCCGTCGGGCCGTCAAGTCCAGGGGGGCCTCCTCTGATCCTATCCTGAGCGTGTCCTATCCGTATTTCCAGGCCGCGATCTGACTGTATCCGTATTCGTTCCTCCTCCGCGTCCCGCGTCTGTGCCATCGGGCCGCGGGCCTCGATCCGCTCGCCGAACTCCTCCCTCCACACGAAGCGGGACCTCAGGAGGCCCACTCTCGCCTCGGGGATCTCGGCGCCCGCGTCGCCGCGGGAGAAGCTCCTCCAAGGGGAACCGCCCACCTGCACAGAGAATTCCGTCACCGTCTCGGTCCCCGCCTGCGGAGGGAGGAGGAGGTGCGAGAGCAGCAGGAGCAGCAGGAGGAGGAGGAGGAGTAAGAGCAGGGGGAGGAGGAGAAGGAGGAGGAGGAGGAGGAGGAGGAGGGGGAGGAGGAGGAGGAAGCGGAGGAGGAGGAGGAGGAGGAGGAAGAGGAGAGGGAGGAGGAGGAGGAGAAGGGGGAGGAGGAGGAGGAGGAGGAGGAGGAGGAGAAGGAGGAGGAGGGGGAGGAGCGGCAGGAGCGCCAGGAGGGGGGAAGGCGCAGGAGGAGCAGCAGCAGGCGGGAGGAGCAGGAGGAGCAGCAGGAGAAGCAGAAGGAGCAGGCCCTCCCCCGCAGCTTGGCGCCGACTCCGTCCAGACGCCGGCAGCCACTCTCAGACAGGGAGGCGAGCGCCCGCATCCCTCGCCTGCACCTGTTCGGTCCTGCACCTCCTCTTTTCTTGGGCTGGCCGCGGGCGCAAGTGAGAAGCGTCACACCTGCGCCTCCAAATTTTCCTCCGCCTCCTCCTCCTCCTCCTCGCCTCCTCCTCCTCCTCCTCCTGCGCCTCCTCCTGCTCCGCCTCCTCCTCTCCTCCCTCTCTCTCCTCCTCCTCCTCCTCCTCCTTCCTCCTCCTCCTCCTCCTCCTCCTCCTCCTCCTCCTCCTCCTCCCCCCCCCCCTCCACCTCCACCTCCTCCTCTTCCTCCCCCTCCACCTCTACCACCTCCTTGTCCTCCTCCTCCTCCTTCTCCTCCTCCTCCCTCTCCTCCTCCTACTACTCCTACTACTACTACTACTACTACCTGCTCCTTCTGTCTCATCCTGATCTTCCTCCTCTCCTCCTCCTCCACCTCCTCCCACTCCACCTCCTCCTCCTCCTCTCCTCCTCCTTCCTCCTCCTCCTCCTCCTCCTCCTCCTCCTCAACTCCTCCCTCTCCTCCTCTCTCCTCCTCCTCCTCCTCCTCCTCCTCCTCCTCCTCCTCCTCCTCCCTCTCCTCCTCTCCTCTCCTCCCTCCTCCTCCTCCTCCCCTCCTCCCGCCTCCTCGCCTTCCTCCCCCCCTCCTCCTCCTCCTCCTCCTCCTCCTCTCCTCTCCTCCTCCTCCTCCTCTTCCTCCTCCTCCTCCTCCTCCTCCTCCTCCTCCTCCTCCCTCCTGCTGCTGCTATGTTATCTTCTCTGATCCTCCTCCTTTGTTTCTCCTCCTTCTTCTCCTCTTCCTCCTCCTCCTCTGCTCTCTCCTCCTCCTCCTCCTCCTCCTCCTCCTCCTCTTCCTCCTCCTCCTACCTCCTCCTTTCTCCCTGTCCTTCTTCTCGTCCGCCTCCTTCTATTTCGCCTCATCTCTCCTCCTCCTGCGCCGAAGCCCGCCGACGCCCTCGTGGCGTCGCCGATGGACGGGATGGACATCTCGTTCCTGCACCTCCTGCACCTCCTCCTGCTCTTCTTCCTCCTCTTCTTCCTCCTCCTCCTCCTCCTCCTCCTTCTCCTCCTCCTCTCACGTGGAACATCAAAGTAATAAATCACGCGGAGGTCCGCCCAGGCCTCCGACTGACAGTTCATACTTGATGCTGATGTCTCTTCGAGTTCGTGTCTATGCTGATGTTCAATATCTTTTGCTCAGCGTGTCGCGCCGGTGGCCCCAGCGACACGCTATGCCCTGCGAGCGGATAGCGTCTCGCTCCGCTCCGCGGGGCGGGAGGCTGGGACAAATTCTGGAAATTGACGCTGGGGGACCAGGAAGTGCGCCAGTACGGGCACAGCGACAAGCTATCCAGAAGGTCCCGACCATAAATATGAACCCTTGGAGGTCCGCGCAGACCTCTGAAAATTCATGTCTGTTCGGATGCTCCCTCTAGTGCATATGGTGGGTTCTGGAGGCATGAACCCCAAACTGATGTCATCTCTTGGGAAGTCGAATTGAGCTTCCGCTGGCTTCCGCCGGCCGTCCGCCGCCTTCCGCCAGCTTCCGCCGAGCAAGAAACATCACCCCGTCAATCCTCGAAGGCGAAGCCCTGATATAGAACGCCCCATGGAGCGACCAGACAGAACATTTGGTGTTCCACTCGGGGACGTACGATATGGAGGGCGTCCATCCTGATAGGGAATCGTCTTGATAGCCACTGGTGTGCTGCCCCTGGAGTTCCCCTCGAGACAACATTTCTTTTTGTTTTGGGGCCGGGGGGGGGCGAGGCGCTGACGTGCGTCCCGACGGGGGGGCGGCCCTGCAAGGACGCGGCGTGCGGGCCAGGGCCCGGTCAGAACTCGAGGTCGGTGTTGTGGCAAGTAACAAAGTTCCTTTTCGCGTGTGAGTTTGGAACAGGCTTAGGAATGTAGCCTCAGCTTCAATTCCAAAGTTTTTGCGCTGCTGGGGGGTGGGTGCGGGGGTGGCTCTGCCGGGATAAAGGGGGTGTGGAGGGTGGGGGGGGGACGCGCTGTGCTCCGTTTTCCGGGGGGGGGGGGTCGGGCCGTGGGAACACACAGCAGGAATGCCACCCCTGACGCCAGAGAGCCCAAAAAGGAACACACCCCCGAATCCTCAAAAACCTACAAGAAATCGGTGGTTTGGGCCTCCTCGGGATTCTGGAGGTCCATTTGGAAGCCTCTTGGGCCGTCTTGGAGGCCTCTTGGGGGCTGCTTAGGCCGTCCTGGGCCATCGTGAAGCAATCCCTCCCTCCACCTCCCTCCGCCTCATCCTCCACCTACTCCTCCACTTCCCCTTTCCACCAAGCAGATCGCATCGGGAGCGCCCCCGGATCGGCGGCACTGGCCGGAGGCCACTACAAAAACAAATTTCACTTCCAATGCATCCGATTGAAATCGGTCCGCAGCAAGTCGTAACCATATACCGTTGTTTACAATCGTTGCCGTCGTCATCGCTACTGTGCAAAATTTGCTCCGCGCGTACAAATATTGTCATCTCATCTGGCCAGCGCTTACGCTGTCCACCTTGCCGGCGGTATGCCAGTCGTGGGTCGTGGATGCGTGGCTCCCATGAAGCTGACAAGCGGGTCCATCGGTCACAGCAATGATTTGCAATCCGCTTCGCCCATCTCCAGTTCCTTCTGAAACAGATATCATTACACTCTTCGACTCCTGCGCGTTTGGCATGTTATGTGGCCGCGTGCGTTGTTCGCGTGATGTAATCCACCCATCGTTCTAGCCCGTCGTCCTTGCCGCTGTGGTTGTTTTCGTAGTCGTCGCAGGCGTGCTGGTGTGACTGACGGCGTCGCGGAGCTCCAATAATGAGTCGGAACATTCTCCTGTGAACTCTTCGTAAGGCGTTGGGCATGTCCTTCATGAGGGTCCACGAGCAGCATCCGTACATCACAGAAGGTGTGATGGTCCCGTTGAAGAGCCTCAGCCTGCTGTGGAGATGGAAGCGTTTCTTCGTCAGCTCGCATCGAAACCGATTGAAGCGTCCTCAACCTAGAGCAATCCTGTTCCGAAGCTCAACTTCATGAAAATCGTAGGGCGTCAGCTTTCTTCCCAAGTATTTCGTGTTCTGCTCGGAGTTCAGGATTTTGAAGATGTGGCCGTCGACGTTTACATTAGAATTGGGTCTTCCTTTTCTTCGACTGGCAGTTGTGAGGATCTTGATTTGCCAAGGTGATTCAGTAATCCGCATTTCATGTCGTACGCCGCGAAGTACACAAGTTAGCTGCCGAAGGTTGGGTGCGTAGAGTAGTACATCGTCTGCGAAACGTAAAGTGTTTATCCGGTCCTGGGGTGCAAAACCAAGTTCGACCCCAAACTTTCTGCGAAGCCATCCAAGCTTCAATTGTCTGAAGACGTGCTCGAGCACCGCGTTGAACCGGAAGGAGCTGTGGATACGTATGGGGTGAGAAAGTGCATGTGTCGACGCGCGACTTGTTCTCGACGCGCCCAAGTGGACGAAATCGCCACCACGGCAAACCCACGGCAAGCCCTGCGTCCAAGGTGGATTTTGCCCTGGTGGCCGCGGCGTCCCCCCCAAGGCGCAAGGCCGCGCGTCGGAACAAACGGCGCGGCGACATGCGCATAGGGTAGGATCCCTCCTCCTGCTTCTCCTCGCCATGAAGAGAAGGGGTCGACCATGAGGGAAAAGGGGTCCAGCAGGTCATTGTATCTGTTTGGCCTCCCGGGGGCTCCATCCACGGGCTCCGTGGCTGTTGAAAAACCTGCTCTAGACGAAAAGCTCGGGGAAGGCCCTGTCGGGTGCTGCTGGAAGTGGTGCCCCTGGCCCAATGTGCCCCCATGATTTCCAAGGAGGCCCCCACGGCCTCCAGAGCACCCCACAGGAGGCCCACAGGGCCCCAGGGGCTCCAAGAGTGAGCGAAAAGATGGGGGCACCTTGGGCCAGATGCACCTCTAGCAACCCCCGACCCTGGGGCCAAGGAGAAATAGAGGCGTTATCGCTGATGTCCTTTCTCCCCAGGCCGCCTGGTTGGATCCGCCAGCGTTGCGCGTGTACGGGCGGACTCGCACGACCTTCGGTGGCAACTCATGGACGCCTCCCTTACCATCTTGCTTGCTCTTGCGAATCGACACTGGTCGTCGCTGGTCGACGCTAATCGACGCTACATCGGCGCTAATAGACGCTAATCGGCGCCAAATCGGCGCTATCTCATCAATTACCCCACGCTGGTCGACGCTGGCAGTGCAATCTAAAGACGGAGTTGCGAGGGTACCCAAGGCTCCCACGATTTGCAATCTAATGCGACCTGGTTGCCGAGCAGCGAGCCTCTCAGGGTGACCCCCTTGACGTAGAGCCCGCACGCCCGCACGCCATCGGTGTCCATACTGGCGCTCAGCTCGAGCGCCTCCGGGTCCTCCTCGCGGTAGGGCATCCGGAGCAGCGTGCAGCCAGACGACGGCATGCGGATGTCGAAGCTCTCGCCTTGGAGGACAAAACTGGGCATCTACATAATTTCTCTGAGGCCCGCGCTGGCTTCTTGGATCGGCGCTGGGCCCACCCCTCCCTGGCGCGCAGAGCGCGCCAGGGGCGGCGATGTGAGGCGCCGGCAGAAGGTGCCCCAGCGCCGATTCAAGATCGGGGGGGGGGACGGAAGGGTAGGATAGCAGAGGGTAGGGTCGAAAATCAGTTCACGTAGCTGGTCTTCCTGGCGCCTCCCGGCGCCGGGAGGCGCCCACGTGTATCGAGGAGTTGGCCCGGGGACGGGACGGAGACCAGCTGCATGCAGCAGATTTCGTAATCCCCCCCCTTTTCCCTATCCTACATTTTCGCCCAGCCCGACAGGACATCCGTGCGGACCTCCAAGAGATTATGTACATGCTTTGTTCGGCTGAACGCAAGAGTGACCCCGGGTGAAGAGTGACTCTTGGCGCGCGGTCTTTTGGGGGGACGCGGAGGGATCAAACTGGGACCAAACACGAGCGCGCAAAGGCGCTACTATTGCCTCCCGATTGACGGTCGGGGGGCCCCAATCCCTCAGATCGGGCGTCATGAGTTGTTTTTCGACTGATTTATCCCGAATTGTTTTTTGACTGTCACTAGGGCCCCTGGAGGCCGAGATCTATAGAAAAAACAATCTGTCGTAATTTGTTCATGGCTCGAGGGGGTCTGGGATGGGCCCGCACCAAAAGTCAGAAAGGCCACTGCTGCGTGTAATCGACATGTTCTGTTCTCCGATGGCCGTTCAGGTTGGTCACGTGCGGGTCGTTCCTCACGGACGCCGTGCCCTCGCCGCCCGCGGGTACCGCCGGCGGCGCCGGGATCGCCGAGACCGCCAGCTGAGCGACTATGGTAACGATCGAGCCTCAGTGGAGTGCCCCTGTCCGGGTCACCACTCTTCGTCCTTCCCCCCTCGCACCCCCTCCCCCCGTAGGCTACAAGCAAGAGTGACGCTGGGTAAGATTGGCTTCTGGTGCGCGGTTTTTGGAGGGCCGCGGGGGGGCCAAACACAAGCGCGCAAGACGCTGCTATCGCATCGCGGTCGGCGATCGGGGGGCCCCAATGGGCCCGCACGAAAAGTCACTCCAGCGAAGGGTCACTCTTACGCGTAATCTGCCCCCCGACGATCGAGCCTCAGTGGATCGAGTAGAGGATCGACTACATAATTGATTTACCCCAAACTGGTTTGTTCATCGAATCTATAAAACAAATTCGTAGAATACGCGCAGAGTTACGGGAATGTTACGTTTCTGGTTGCCGATTCGCCGAGAAAATCAAACTTGAGGTAAATCAATTCTGCAGTCGATCCCCTACTCGAGTGGGGTGCCCCTGCCCACGGCACCAGTCTTCCTCCCTCCCCCCCTCTCCCCCACTCCCCCCTGATCTGCCCGTGGGAGATGCCAAGGGAGAGCGGCGACGAGGGAGCAGTGGAAAGGGACTGCGCGGGAGGGAGTAGCTTCACTGCAGACACCTCTCGTCCCTGCGAGCCTGATGGGTAGTTCTTCGTCGTGGGGTGGACCAGCAGAGTCGTGGACGGGGACACGGCGATGTCGATCTGCTTGATGGTGACCACCTCCTGTCGCGGATGATCGCTCGGCCGCAAGCGGTGTTGTGGTGCACGAGCCCCCCCCTACCCCCACGCCGGATGGGGCACTTATGCACCACACCTCTCCCCGGGACGGCCCTCGGCGCCCTACGCCGGTGCTGCTGCTGCTGTTGCTGCTGCTCCTCCAGACTCCTCCTGCAAGGGAGACTGGGATCGGTGTCCAACCACTTAATCATCCAGAGAAACATAAAACTGCATAACCGTTAACTTTCGGAGGTCCGCGCGGATGTCTTGGATCGGTGCTGGCCCCCCCTCCCTGGCGCGCGGAGCGCGCCAGGGGGCGGCGTCGGAGGCGCCGCCAGGGGGCCCAGCACCGATCCAAGAAATCCGCGCGGACCCCGAGACTTTATGCTTGTGATGATTTTCTGTTCGACTGTGGGGGGTCCTGGTTGCCCCCACTCTTATCTTGCAGCAGGGCGAACTGAGACAATGGCAGCTCAGAATCGGTCCCCGACCTCACCTGGGGTTCAAACGCACCATCTGTCTGAGCCGGGTCCGGCCGTGGCGGCGAGGGCCCCCCCCGAAGGCCAACTGCCGTTCTCCCAACTCGCCCTCCTATGACGTGCGTTGTTCGTCTGGCTTTCGAATCACAACTCGGCCGTCGGGACGACCGGATCCAGGCAACCCCGGAAGGCCCTCGGCGAGGCGCAGCCGACGAGAGGCATCCCGAGGCCGGAAAACCGCCAGAAACCGACGAACACGCCCGCGAGCCTCGAGCTCCTCACCGCCTGCATGCCTCCTCTGCTCCTCGGGAGTCCTGGTTGCCCCCGCCGGAGATTTCGAGCTCGTCGCCGACGTGAAGGCCCTCCGCGGAGGTCACCTCCAGCGACGACGCGCCCGCCGGCACGCCTTCGGCCAGCGTCGTGTGCACGGGCTCGGGCCCCGCAGCCCCGGCGGCGGGCGGGACCTCGAAATGACCCTCCTTGCGCCCTCCAGACAAGCCCCCCCCCCTGCCCCCCTTACGACCCCAGAGATGTCTGGGCCCTTTGACCCCCCTCCATCCCGTCCCCCACGAGGGGGGGGGGGGGCGCTCGGCTCCGCGTGTGGCGGGCGCTTTCCTGGGATGGCGCGGTCGGAAAGGGGAAGCTGTCGCGGTCTCTCGCCGGGGGAGGGCGTCGGCGGGTGCAACGAGCGTGTCTCCGAGGACCACCGCCGAGGCGGGCGCGAGGGTGGGCGCCGTGCTCGGAGCGGTGCTCGGCGTCGGCGTCGGGCTCGGGCTCGGCGCCGCCGTGGGCAGGAGGGCGCCGGGGGGCGGCTTGGCGCCAGAGGGGAGGGTCGCCGAACCATGGCTCAGGGTCCCCTCGTGGAACGTGGACATGGGGAGGTCCACGTCCCTGCAGAGCACGAAGAAGAGCTTCGCGGGAGTCCCGCCGGGGCCGACCACGCCGTCGCACCTCATCGCGGGCACGTCCCTGCAATATTGCCAGCTGTCGTGCCCGACGCCGTCGGTCCGGCAGATGCCCATGGTGCCCGTGTCGCCGCTCGCGGAAGCACACGCGGCGTATTGAGTGGCACCTGGTGCCTTATTCCAGTGCAGGGGCTCGTAGTTCTCCCAGTTCACCCCACACGCCGAGAACGTGTCCTGCGAGCGGAGGGCCAGGCGGTTGTTGGAGTGACCAGAGGTCGGGGCGTTGTTCTGGATGTCTGCTATGGCTTGGGCGCGTAATATGGACTCCTGCTCATCATGCGAATCTAGGGCTGGTTGCGTGTCTGTAGCTCCCACAGCGTATCTTTCCTCTCGCCAGATTCTGCTTATTGCAGAAGTCTGCACAAGCAAGCACGCTAGTAGTCGAGGGATCAGCATCGCATGCCTATCCGCGGTAATTAATAGAGTGACTGGCATCGCATGCCATCAAGTCGCAAACATGTAAGTAAGGATGAGTGTTTCGGAGTCAGGCGGTATGAGCCCAATGGGCTATGGATCCGAGGAGGAACAACACAAGGATGGAAAGGAACATGCATGGTAAAAGGATCAGACGGAGGAGGGGGAGGAAAAGGATGTGCGCCGACCAGGATCAGCAGGATGTGCAGGACCAGATTGATCCTGGGATGTATCAGCGCTGCTGCAGTACACGATCCTGTCCGAACGCCCCTCCACACAACTTGTCTCTAAGCACTGCGCTCCCTGAAACGACGTGAAGCGCCCCCTTGAAAGTCAAGCGGCCCATCATTCGGAAAGAACCCAACTTTCAAAAGAGAAGGGTACGATCAGAAAACGCAGCGAACACTCCAGGAAGAGCCACATTTTGAAAAGGAGCCGCCCCCCACCCGTGCAGCGATTGCAGGGTTGTGAACTTCTGGTTGCATTTGTCAGGGACGTCTCAAGCGGGAACCCACGTTTTGAGAAGATGCCGTTCACCATCCACATAGCCGTTGCACGATGCCGCAGTACTGCACGCAGTGTCGGTGGAAGGCGTGGGCGAGAACGCCCCTTTGGACATGAGCCGCCCTCCATCCGTTCAGCGAATGGAAGCGTTTACGACGCATGTGCGCGGCTCTGGCAGAAACAGCATTTGAAAACCACCCGCCCGACCCCCCCTGGTAGCTTTGGTAACTTTATACCCGGATGTGGGCGGCGCGCAGGCGAGAATAACATTTAAAAGGTCCGCCCTCCATCAGGATGACTGTTATGCATCCTAAGCTTCATGGTCATCGGGTCAGAAGCGGTTGGGACATCTCATGCGAACTGCTCTGCCCGCCCACCTGACGAGGCTGGTGGTGCAGAGGCAGAGATGGAGGAGAAGCACGACGAATGACGTTGGAGGAGGAGGAGGCTGAGGGCGAGCAGCAGCACGAGCAGGAGAAACATAATCCGAGACACAGGAGGGCCAAAAGGACGAGGAGGAAGAGGAAGAGGACGACGGCAAGGATGGGAAGCAACGAGGGAACTAGCAAGCAGAAAAAAGAATCGTTGCAGAGGGGGGGGGGGGGAGGCGAGGCTGTTGCTTCAAATTGTTTGGATATGCGATCATGGACTGGCAGAGGCCACGGCGGATAATGCCTACAACACGTGGGACGGCCCGCCAAGCGGCCTGAAGTCTCCCCCCCAGAAAGAAGTCGCGCAAAACGTGAAGCAAATAACTCCTCATGCTGATACAGGTTCTGGTGAGGAAGGGGAGATCGTCGAAGAGATGGTGGAAATTCGCCACAAACCAACCGAACAAGTATCGTGGCCAGCCTTTCGGCCAATGCCGGCCACGCCTCCTGTCAAACCCAGTCAGCCCTGGTCAGCACTCCCAGCCAGCCCGTCGAGCCAACCACGATCAGGGCAACTCTACACACGATAGACACCAGAAACATGAAGTACGACATCACGCTATAAAACATCGTAGGGCACTTGTGTCGTCGAGCTGTGGGCCGCCTGAGGTGCCCCAGGGCTTCTCTATGAGCCTCCACGGCAATCAAGGCAGAAGGAACTTTCGTGGGGAATCGGCTGGTACGCAGGCCAAGTTCTGATTTGACTGCGTAGTACCACGACGAGCCTCGATCACGACGAGTTTCCCGCCCCAGAATTTAAGGAACAGCCTCAAAATCAGAGCCCTTCCTGAGTCCCCCAAAACCCTCACCTCAGCGTCTTGACTGTAGGCCAGTCTTTTCTTTGACTGTATATTGGTTGCTGAAGGTCGTCGTCGCTCAAGGCGGGCGGCTCAGGAGAGCGGGCCAGGATTGTACACGGGAGTGGCTGGGGGATTATGTTGTACAATCCTGCCGTTTTCGGTCTCTTCAAATTTGCCCTGCCGCTGCAGCCTGGGCCTAATTGAAGGATCGACGATTTGCTCTCGTCGTTCAGATTGGCAACTTCGCCCCCCCCCATCGCAGGCCTCTCTTGTGGACCAGGGTCTTTTCTCATCGTTGTCGTCCCCCTCCTTTCTCCTTGTGCGCCTTTGCCTGGCCCTCTTGCTCATCCCTCTCCTTCTGCTTCAGCCCCTGCTGCTGCTGTTCGTCCTCGTCCTGCCCCTTCCTCATTGTTCTCGTTTTCCTCCTGCCCATCCTCGTTTTCATCTGCCACCTCCTCCTCCTCCTCCTCCTCCTCCTCTTTCTCCTCCCGTTCCTGCTCCTGCTCCTGCTCCTGCTCCTGCTCCTGCTCCTCCTCCTCCTCCTCCTCCTCCTCCTCCTCCATTGTACGCGGCTCCCCATTTCCGATTGCGGATAACACGACGGGTCCTTTTTGGAATTCCAGGTCCGCTATGACACGCGTTCGCGGATAGCGGAAAACATCAGCGCCATGGGAAGGGATGGGTGGGAGGCGAAGGATGTCAGAGATGGAGCGAGCGCACCGAACTTACCAATTCACCCTCTTTCCTTTCTCCTCCCGCTTCCTTCCTAATTCCGTACCTGCACCCCTCGCCTCTTCCTCCTCCTCCAACTCCTCCTCCTCCCCCTCCTCCTCCAACTCCTCCTCCTCCTCCTCCTCCTCCTCCTCCTCCTCCTCATCATCATCATCATCATCATCATCATCATCATCATCATCATCATCATCATCAGCATCATCATCATCATCAGCATAATCATCATCATCATCATCATCATCATCATCATCATCATCATCATCATCATCATCATCATCATCATCATCATCATCATCATCATCATCATCATCATCATCATCATCATCATCATCATCATCATTATCTCCCTCCCCCCTGCTATCAATATCTCCCTCCCCCCGTTCTTAAGTTTCTCCCGTCCCCTCTACCCCCTCCGCCATCACGTCCTCCTGCATACCCCCTCTTTTCTCCCTTCTCCCCTTCTCGACGTCGCCGTCGTCGTCGTCGTCCTCCTCCTCCTCCTCCTCCTCCTCCTCCTCCTCCTCCTCCTCCCCGTCTACACTACACCATTCGCCACCTCCTACTTCTCTTCCTGCTTCCTCCCTTTTGTCCATCCTCCCCTCCGCATCACCGACGTCCTCCTTCCCCCCCACCTCGCCGTCATACGCGTCGTTGTCGCCATCGCTGCCACTGCCGTCGTCGCCGCCGGCCGGCGCCGCCGCCGCCGCCGTCGCCGCTGTGGGCGTCGCAGTCGCCGCCGCCGCCGCCTTTGCCGCCTCCGCCTTCGTCGTCGACGTCGTCGACGTCGTCGCCGTTGATGCCGTCGCTGGCGTCGTCGAAGTCGTCGGCGTCGTAGCTGTCGCCGCCGCCGCTGTCCGCGAGGAGGCGGCGTTCCGCAGGGGGGCCGGTCGCACGGCCTCGTCGTCCGCAGCGGCGCGCCGCGGCGTCGCAGCGCCTGTCGCGGAGGCGAGTCCGCTTCGAGGGGGCCCCGCTGGTTGTCCTTCTCGAGCCTGGTTTGATGACTACCCAGATTTCTGTTCTCTTCTACGTTTCCAGTAAGCGGTTGTTCGTTGGTTTCGGCCTCCAGAGGCCCGTTGTCGGGCAACCCCGTAGGACCTGTTATCGCCAGAGGGTAGAACATGTTAGACGCGGGGGTACCCATGTGCATGTCTTGTCTGGCGCTTTCATTTCTGAGCGTCTGGGTTTGAGTGTCTGCGCGTGAGCGAGCGAAGCTGGGTATGAATGACTACGAATAAGCGAATATGGGTGGGAAGGAGCGAGCATCGGCGACTAGGTATGAGCGCCGCTGAGTACGAGCGGGCAGCAGTATGAATGCTTCTGAATACGAGCGAAGCTGAGTGTGGGCGAACAGGAGCGAGTCTGAGTATTAGCGATGGGTACGAGTTAGCCTGAGTGTAGGTGGATACGACAAATTATGAGCGCGTCTGGGTATGAGCACCTAAGTGCGAGTGGGTTGAAATGTGGGCAGATCTGTGTGGAAGTCCGAGCGCGAATACGTCTCAGTGTGAGGGACTGCGTGTGAGCAGGTCTGAGCCGGAGTGATTGAGCACGTGCGAGTCTGGGCACGAGTGGGTGTCAGCATGAGTGAACGTGAGCACCGGTAGGTCCGAACATGAGTGATGGCCTCCCGGAATTTCCTTGGGCCTCCCGATCCATCGTGGGGCCTCTGGCGGCCTGTGGCGTCACCGGGCCGCCTCCCCTTGGGAGGACCACGGGCTCTGACTGCTACGTCGCGACGACCACGGGGCTCTGAAGCTGAATCGGCGGCGAGCGAGGGGTGGAAGTGAGAAGGAGAAGGCCTTCTCGGAAGGCGGCGGGACTTCTTAAAGCCCTCGCGCCTTCCGAGAAGGCCTGCCACTTCTCACTTCCCCCCAGGGTTCGCCACCGACTGAAGATACAGTCGGGCTGCTACAAGAAGAAAGAACGCCAACTAAGAAACTGGTCCACGAAGAGGGCTAGAGGGGCACCCACGGAATTACCTAAGGAACAGCAATCCCTTAGAGAGACCAAAGCGGCCCTTGTTTCAACGCCTTGGCTGTCAAAGGGTCCCATGGGGGCAAGGCGGCAATTCTGCATGAGAGGTCCCAGCAATCTGGGGGCCAACGAGACCTCGATCTACCCTCACGGCGGCTCTTCCTTGTGAGGCTCAGGCGCCAAGTCTTGCACATCGCGACGATCCCGGAGGCCGAAAACGGCGAACAAAACGCCGCCCTGAGTTCTTCCAATGCGTCGGACCTCAGAGTGCCCCTCCCTGGCCCTCCCGAGCCCTCACTGGCCTCCTTTCTGCTGCTGGCCTCCCGCGCCAAACCTAGGCGAGTCGCTTGGGTGATCTAGCTCGAAGCTGCTCTCTCGTCACGCTGCCCGATCTGCAACAGCTTGGAGGACACAATCTGCACCTTGTAAACATCGACCGCACGAAAGATAGGGCCGCATTGCAGGTGACATCATTCTGGGCCCTTGTGTTCAACAACAAGTGCTCGACCAGGGCAACACCAAACTGCTACGGCCGTCGCGACGGCCCTGGCGACATGCCCTGCAAGCGGATGGCGTGAGGTTCCGCACCGCGGGGGATAGCAAAGGCTCGGGACGTGGACGCCTGGGGAGTGGGAATGTCGATAACGTGTCGCG